TATATATAACTATTGGCCTGTCTTGCTATCTCACGTGAATCTCAGTCAATAAGAAATCCATCTTTTAGTGGATCGTCTTCTTCTACTGTAAAGTTGGCACTGCCAATATAGTAACCATGCCCCTTCAGTTCAACAATGACAGCATCGAACTTGCCACATTTTGTTGAACGAACAACTTTGCCAATGAAATTGCATCCAATTAGGTTTTGAAATTCTCTGGGTTTGTCAACAGCAAGTAAACCCTTGTGATAGAACAGAGCTATTCTACCAGTTGTACCACTCCCACATGGCGATCGACTCACCTACGTAAAGGTGAAAAAAAATATGATTTGGTTCAACCTGCGAAACACATTATTATGAATGTCGTTGTAAAGCATGACAGTGCATGCTTATCCTGACTGGGGGGGGGTCCATCTTGTTTTAAATATTGTTTTAATTTGGTAAAATGCTGTAAAGGGGTTAATTATTCACTGGGTTTTAGTTTAGCTTATTTCGCTGACTGGAAAATGCGCTAAATTAAAACCCAGTGAATATGTAAAATTTAGCATAGAACACATTATCTAAATGACAAAACCGTGAATTTAAAACCCACTGAATACGCCTGAAATGATAAATCAGTGAAATTAAAACCCAGTGAAAATTAGTCATTTTACAGTGGGTAAATATCACAGCTGTAATGGTTAACGTGGTTAAACAACTACCCCGTAGTACACTGCCATACTTTACACACATTCAATCTGAGTATGCAATACAATCTACGTTCACTTGTGCTCAGATGGGTACAGTCTTTACGAGATCTCGCGACTGTGCACCACACAAATGACATTCATTTGAGACCACTTTCTGTTTTGCGGTACCATAACGGCGGTGCGCTTTTTGTAATAAGCCTGTGGTACCATATACATCTTCACTTTCGCCGTTTTTCGAAATTGTAATAACATTTTCGTTAGGAGTTGGAAAAAGTGACAACTCATTCAAATAAAACACTAAGAAATTAAAATATCACAAAACACTGCAGTACAGGGTGAAACCATGGGTGGAGGGGTGCTCAAAGAAAACCTGAGCAAATCCTACTTCAATTCGATTAGCATGCACACTGCCACGATTCGCCATGGAATGGTGCGCGCGTGTCACAACGGGGAGTGTGTGGCACACTTTACTTAATGTGAACTGTTCACGATATCGAGACCCTGTAGTAACATTTCATTGAATAACGTACATATGGAGTACCGATCATACCTGAGAATTGCCGCATATCATAACATTAACCGTGGGTCCATCGTCATACACATCTTTTCCGTCACTCATTACCGTGCCACAGATGAACGATAAATCGTCATTGTCGGGGTGTTCCACTTTTACCTGCTTTACCAGTGCTCGGTTGAGTGCACCAGCGGCTGCGATGATATGACGGACAGGGGAAGTACGCATGTCTAAACCAAAGACGTCAGCCGATACATAGGCGTGGAATGCCCCGCCGTAACTTATATCAACCTTTAATTTACCATAACCGACTACTTCGATTTCAACGTCTGAAAATAATCATTCAATTCCAATCAGATTAATATCCAGTAGAATTGTCAGTAACGGGTTATGTTGTATTACTACTGGGTTTATTTATTAAAATAATATTATATTTAATACTTATTGAAATTAAAAGTGAACATAATTAGCTGAGATTGAAAAGTTATTCCATTTGTTGAATAAATTGATATGTCAACGCAATTTTTAGTAGGTTAACAACAAGCTGTAGAAAGTGTAAGGAAATAAATGACAGTGCAACCACTGTGCATATTACAATTTGGAAACTAATATCATAACTACATGTCGCCAATTGTCTACAGCCATTCCATATGTAAATCTATCAAGTGTACGCCCCCAAGTTGTCCATTACGGTCTTGCTAGTCTTTGACACATGGAGTAGAAAAATGTATTATTAACAAATATTAACAATTTAGTTTGTCTTTTGTCTCCCCTCATGTATAGTGGACTGTTCTTCTTGACATTGACATTTTTTAATAATACATATTTCCTACATTAACCCTCACCTTGTATAAATCCGCTATTATATAATCTGGCTTATTGATAGGATATACTCTGAGTTGGCTTAGCAAATTGAAACACACTATGCCTGTTGTCAAGCTTTAAGGTAGCGGGACTATTATTTGCATACTTGTTTTCATCTTCTAATTGTGACTAAATGACTACAAATAGACCCGGGAAAGTATATATTTTTAGAATCGCCAGACTTCAAGCTTTTCACAAGTGTATTTTGCATGCCCGTATCTGCAATCTACGACGCGTTACTCAATCAAAGTTGAAAAATTACTTTTTCTGTAAAAAAAATAATTACGCATTTATGCTGGCGATAAGAAGTATTTTTTTCACTTTTCCTAGTTGTTCAATAGTCTGGTAAATTGAATGTGTCTGGTTAGTTTTATTCAAGCAACGCGTTTTAAAAAATAGTGTCCTGAATTTCAATTACTGTTTTAGTCGCATTGCCCCCAACTCAAACCACAACTCGTTGGTAAATAATCGATGAAATAGTTTGTCTGGACACATTCAAGTTCCTCT